GAAAGTGGGAGTGGGCAGAGAGCTGAGGGCAAACTGGAGGTATTAGGGGAGGAAGTGGGGGACAGAGAACTGGGAGGAGAGAGCAGGGGTGTGCTCTGGGCTCCAGTGTGGTGGTGGTGAGGGTGTCCGTGGATGCCTGGTGGAGCTCCCAGCCTCTCCTGGGGCCCCAGGTCTGGCCCAGCCAAACCGGCTTGCTTCGAGGGCTGCTGTGGTGAAGGCAGCAGTGGCCCCCAGGCTGGAACGCTGCTTTCATTGGGTTTAATAACAAAAATTGTGATTTGATCACACCGTCGTTTTTCAACCCCTACCCACCATCTGTCAGGCTGCCGTACTCCGGTGGCCTGCCGTGTGACTGTGCTGCTTTCACCTAGCGTGCCGTGGGGGCGGGGGCGGAGGCGGGGGTGAGGAACGCCTGGGACTGACTTCTGAAAACCAGCGTGAATCCCAGGAGAACACGGCCTGCCCCACTGACTTTGGGCATGTCACCAGGAGGAACCAATCACTGGAGGACGAGGAGGAGGAGGACACTGAGGTCAGTGACACAAACGCCCGGGCAGAACAGACCCTCAGTGAGATGTGCTGGAAACTGCTGGGATAGTGAGGGTGGCGCAGGATCAGCACGTACATTGGTCATGAATGGCAGCTGCCTCAGGTGACTGTATGTCTACCTGTCTGTTGGTATCTACCTACTTCTCTACCTGCTGTCATCTTTCTTGGATCTTTCCATCTACCTGTCATGTCTGAAGTGGCCCAGAAAACCTAAGTGTTCCTTGAAGTGGTGTGGGCATCAAGGGCAGCCATCTTCCAGCACATTTACAAGCATGAATGAGACCAGTGCTTTCTGTCCTGCGCTGATAGAGATCCTCAGCATTTAAAAAATGCATATGGTGTGAGCTATCATGTGATGATCGTGTAGAAATCCTGAGTTACCAGCTGTGCGGAGTTTGATTTTGCTTGATTTCCTGCGAGCACCGTTATTGCTCTATCTTTCACGCTGTGATTGCTTTAAGACAGTCAAACCACAGCTCACACCCTGTCGGTGGGTGACTGGATTGCAGGTTGAGAGAAGCCCAAACCAGAGAAGAGAGGGATCAGCTGGGAAGCCGGCTGGGAGGGGCACCCTGACTCCATCCGCCTGCTTGTGGCTCCCAATTTGTGACCTGAGGTCTCCCTCTGGGGATGGACATGGCTGCTGGTGGGGGAGCACTCTTGTGCCCAGGTGTTGTTAGTTGCTACCAGGTCAGCGTGGACTGAAAGCAACCCCACCTGCCACAGGAGGAAACACCGCCACCGTGATCGTTGATCTGTTAGAGTGTGCTGTCGTGTGCATCTGTATCATGGAGGGCTTTCTGCTTGTCACTGGCCCTCTGCCAGTGTGGTCACCCATGGTGGCCATGTCTCAGTGGAGCCTCCAGACTAGGACAGACTGCAGTCAGAAGAAATGAGTCCTGTGACATGTCTGGGAGATGAGATTTCCTGGCCTTCAGATAAATACACAAGCCTGCCTGACACTGTACTCACAGGGGAGAAGAGTCCCCCTGACACTCAGGTGGCAGAAAGTCGACCTTTCCTTTGGCCCGAGGAGAGGGACCCTCCAGACACACCCATGGTGAGATCAAACCCAGGGCGCTTAAATAGTTCGTGCTTGTACTCAAATAGGGAAGAGAAGAATGCCCAGCCATTTGAAGGAGGGACAGGATCTTTTGATGCACAAACAGTGTTGTGACCCTCAGGCAGACCCTGTAAGACCTCTTTGAAGTCAAATACAAACTAGCTTTCAGGACTCTCATGTAGGGGGGATAAGATCTTGGTACCACCAGGGAGGGGAGAGAAACCCTCCAGACAGGGAGCTGAGGTGAGCATCGCAGGCAGCTAGAATAGAGATGTTGTCTGGTAAAGTGGGACAGCCTGCTAGCCATGCAGCATGCACAATGTTTCTTACACTGAAAGAGCTTAAGAGAAATTCAAGCTCCTGGTTGGAATATTGAAAGGTACTATGGGAAAAATATTGAATGATGCAAGAAGCATTAAAAAACGCAAATAAAGAGTACCAAAAAGAACCAGTCGACGTTCCGCCTTTTTGAGAGGTAGCATATGAACAAGAACAAATGGCGCCGAAGGAAGAAGTTCAAGTTGCACTAAAGCAGTACCCAAAAGCAAAGTTCCAGGAATTGATGGAATGCCAATGGAAACCTTTCCACACTCACTGGTCTATGCCAGGGAATTTGGAAGACAGTTACTTGGACAACTGCCTGGAAGAGATCCATATTTGTACCCATTCCAAAGAAAGGTGACCCAACAGAAGGCTCAAATTGTAGAACAATATTATTAATATCACATGCAGATACAATTTTGGTGAAGATCATCTAACAATGCTTGCAGCAGTACATTGACAGGGAGTTGCCAGAGAGAGGTTCAGGGCAGATTCAGAAGAGGACGTGATACCACCAGTGATGTCAGATGAATCTTGGCTGAAAGCAGAGAATACCAAAAAATGCTTCCCTGTGTTTTATTGACTATGCCGAGCTGTTTGACTGTGTGGATCATAAAAAACTATGAAAAGAATGGGAATTCCAGAGCACTTCGTTGTGCTCACGCAGGACCTGTGCGTGGATCAAGGGGCAGTGTGTGAACAGAACAAGGGAATGCTGCATGGTTTAAAGCCAGGAGAGGTGTGTGTCAGTATGTATCCTCTCATCATACCGGTTCAATCTGCATGCTGAGCAAATATTTAGAGAAGCTGGATTTATGAAGAGGAATGTGGCATCATGATTGGGGGAGGGCTTATTAACAATCTGAGATATGCAGAGGACACACCTTGCTTGCTGAAAGTGAGGAGGACTTGACGAGACCTGGTCTCACATTGGACATGTTGTCAGGAGAGACTAGTCCCTGACAACAAGTGATCCAAATCGGTGGTAAGGAGGGTGTAGGAGGCTTGGTAGGGCGTGATCAAGGGTAATGTAACTGAGAGGAATTACTGAAACCCAAATGAAGGTTGAACATGATAGTGGGACAAGAGGAAAGTGAAAGGAAATAGAGGAAAGAGCTAGGAGGCAAAGGGCATTTATAGAAGTTTAAATAAAGGCATGTACATATGTACATATATTTATAGAAGAGGATGGGGAAATAGATCTATGTGCATATATGTATAGGTTTAATATTAATGTAGCAGATGGGCATTGGGCCTCCACTCAAGTTCTCCCTCAATGCAAGAATACTTTGTTCTATTAAACTGGCATTCCATGATGCTCACCTTCCGGAAACAATAGCTGAAGACAAAGTGGGTGCATAAGCAAATGTGAAGAAAGCTGATGGTTCCTGGCTATCAAAAGATGTAGCATCTGGTGTCTTAAAGGCTTGTAGGTAAACAAGCAGCCATCTAGCTGAGAAGCAACAAAGCCCACATGGAAGAAGCACA